AAAATGTAATCGGACGCCACCGTTATTCGGGTCACTCAAAAAATCTCAAACTTTTACCCCATGTTCGAATGAACGTCAAATCTCGCAAACGGAAAAGGTCAAAAGTAGGTACAGCGTTGCTTTCTAACCTTGTAGCAATAATTTGTATGCATATGATATCATGCGTCCAATATCCTTGCGTAAATCTGCAGCATGTTAAGACCAACTTTTCAAAGCTAGTAAGCACCTGCAATTTGAAGCAGATTGCGCTCTGCGAGGCGAATTGAAAAGCGGAAACAGAGATCAAAATTTCTTGCCAAATGAGTAGATTGGAAGGCCTTTCATCTTTAAAACAAAACTACATCATCTCTAATGCTTGAGCACCTCAGTGTGTGCTACCTATACTAAATTCATCTTTTTTATCTCAAGGGGTATAAAACGGCTGAAGAGTTTAAGGAAATTTGAAGCAATACTTGAATTGTTCCCACTTTCCCGTAAAACAACATCATGTCAGGCGGGGACTGAGAATTTGTGCACCTGTTCTCCAACAAGACAATAATTTATTCTGGGGCTCCGCCTTGGACCCCAAATTACGACTTCCACTTTGCTTTTTCGGATCAAAACGACATCCAGCTTGTGAAAGCGCAACCCCCGCCGGGCCCTGAGCTGGGTAGAGTGACCAGCTCCGGATACGTCGCCAGGAACGGAATTCTCGCTCCGGAAGCAGTCTTCTGCTGCGCAGCTTGGGGGTTTGCTTAGTGTGGGGGCCCACACCACTATGCCATCATAATCTCGTCAACGCCCAATTTGGGTAAACGGTGCCTTTAAGACGGATGCCGCATGCTTCACATTTGCACGTAGGTTGTAGTAAAAGCGTGTTTTTCCCTCAAAGTTTCCTCCAAAAGAAAACTTCGTTTCAGAACTGTCATTTCTAGGTTTATGGAACGAATATGTCTGTCATCTTTTCTGATGAATATTGCTCAAGATAAAAAAATCACTCCAAATTCTCAGCCACTTAATTTCCATTAAGTTACATACAATGCGTAAAAACTGGCTCAGAGCGGAGTGGAACTTAAAGTGAGCTCAGAGAGGGCACACTTGCCAGCGCTATGCTTGCCTGCACAACGATGTTGCGTGGTGCACACGTAAAGAGCTCTCGGAAAAACGCCATAACTCCCTTCGCAGAAGCGTTTTTGGAATCGGCCTTTCAAGCCCTCTCACGGAATGTATCTCGTTCTGATCGGCAACTTCGATTCCGCGAGCCTTCTTTGTAAGAGATCTTGGTAGCTTATAATGCAGCAATTCACACTCTTCCTAGTGGTTACAAAATTATTGCAGCACAATCAATGAGCTATGAGGATTAAAATTTGCGACCTGTCCTTTTTAGAAATTTTCAAGTTTCATAATTGCACTTTTATATCGACCCTCCAAGTAACGAGTCGATAGAGCAAACCCTACAGGAAACAGTTCAATTTTTCTCTTTTCCGTAGCTCGCCATAATGGTTTTATTTTATTGATGGAACCACCGGATTTCGCAAGCCTATCAGCCACAACCGCATCAAACACCAATAATTCTTATTGTTAGGGAATTTGAAACTTACAGGTTGGTATTATGATTTAACAGTAACTTTATAAAGCAAATGAGTTTCACAAATTCGAGATATCAATCTCGAGTTTTCCGGTACAGCCAGGGGCGCCGAAAACCCGAACCATGATGACTCTATCTCCGAAGACTCCACGAATTGGTAAGAAAAAGCTCACTTTAGAAAAAGGAGAAAAAGCTGCATCGAATACCCGAGGTGCTCTCCCTTCGATGTTCTACGAAGTTTGTGTTAATCAAGTATGGAAATCGACAGCGTCAGTTGAAATTCTATCAAAACATTACAATGAGCTATAGAAAGGGAAGAAAAATGGTTTTGCATAGAATCTGCTCTATCCATATGTCACTTGGACTTTTCCGATAAATCGGTACAAAATTTGGAAAGGTAGCGGAAGTTGGACTTGGCGACAATCATGGGTCGTGTTCCTTGGTAACTTTCCAAGACCTCTTTAATTGTGCTGCATTGTGCTTATAACATTTAGAAAGAGGATAAAATGCTGCATAGAATGCCATCAAGATCTTGTAGAGAAATTTACTTTTGGAACGACTAAATAATGTATATCATAGTGTGAGGAATCATTCGTCACGTAGATCCGTCTATTGTTTCATGGACTGTGCAGGGTATAGCAGTCAGTCATTTTCTGTAATTTGCTTATTATGCAAAATAAGTTGACAGCCATAAGTCAATTGTACTGCGCGAAACTGCAGTAAACTACTACATGGCGTGAAGTGACTTTCGTTGTTGCCGTCACTTCATTATTCAAAAGTGCCTGCAACATTTTTCGGATATCAAGCCACGTGAAGCATGTCACAAATGGGCGCTAGAGTGATGTGATGAGCAATGCAGTGCACTTTTGAAAGCTGCGCATTTGCCAGCCTCACATGGTAAATCAGCAAAGGATCAAATAGAGAGTGCGCAAATGGTTTCTCTAGAAAATCGCTTTTTGCGGTACACTCACGTAAAACATGGGCATCATTTTCATACTTTCAGATAATCTTTGAGTAAAATAAGAGGGTGGTGCAAAAGTTCTTGCGTAATTCAAGAAGAATTCGAAAACTTTTCGAACCCTAAATTTGAGTTCACTGTTTTGTCGTATAAATAAGAATGTTTGGTCTTTACGACAGTCATTCGGATTCAACTTTTATTATAAACCCTGCAGTTACAAGATCCAAAAAAGCACTTCTAATTTCGTCATTCTAAGTTTTCTCATAACACTATGGAGCCACTACTTAGCCCAAAAAAAATCTGTGAAATTTTTTATAAGCAGTAGTGCATATATCACTTGGCAGACCTTATCTTGAAAATGCAATATATCACTCTGCAGCAAAACTCCACACACCGCATTTTTTTCCCACTGGAACACTGCTCGAGAGCAGAAATTCATTTGCTTACCCGAAGTACTGTGACGTATTGGGCCCTCACTTGTGTTTTTGCCGAAATGTGCGGTTGAAGTTCTCTGCAAAATGGCATTCTTACGAATTTTTTGTTTCTGTATTAGCTAACGACACTCCAGAACTTTACTTAAATGATGACGCTTTCAAAGCTTGTTCCCTCAGGGCTAGCGAATGAAATGCGCTTAAATAACTTAGTTCTTCTACATTTTGAACACAGTAAAGCGCAAACGATTTTCTATTTCCGAGTACAAAATGAATTTAGGTCTAAGGTTCAAAAAATTACTGAATTTCGTAACATTACTCACGAATTTCTGCACTGACCTAATAAAAAAAGGTGCTTTGCTAGACTCAAGCACTGATCAAACAGATCAACATGAGAGCAAGTGTCGTCACATGAAAGAAGAACTTGCACCATATGTTTTAAAGTCAAGGCATAGCTGGAACGACAGATTTTGGAGTGTCCATGTGAAGAGGGACTAACTATTAACCTCAGAAAATATACGAGATGCAGCTCAAGGTTATCGTTTTTCGAATTCTTATATGACCTTTAGATGCGGAATGAGTAAGAAAAAGCCAGCTCGTCCAGTTATAGGCCAAAAATGTCCACAAGGTTTCGCCAGAGAATGCAGATGCCTTAACTCCCGAGAAAATAAATGAAAGAAGTAGGATCTTTGGCGAAGAGTCAAGAATTAGGGAGAAAAAAAAAGGATCTTTTAAAAAGTTGTCATTCGCTATTCGTAAACACCACACATTATGAAGACTTTAGCATCTACCCTATGACTCCTTCGGTTCTGGTATTTTTGAGTAAAAAGGTTGGTCAGGGTATTAGTTCGCAGTTTTGATGCTTTGTACGGCTATAAATCAAAACTGCCTGGTAATGTTACTTACTATAGCAACTCGTATTTATTTTACTTTTTTTCAATTACTAGGTTATTGCTAAGTCAATTCATTGAATCATTAAATTTTGAGCTCTAATTTATAGACAGTGTTCCGACGCTAAAGAAGTTTCAACCATCCTTTACAGCCGTCTCAGACAAAATTAGGTTCTGAGTCTCACTAAGCAATCCGATGTTGCGCACTTCTCAAAACAGCTCAAGCTGCGCAAAAGTTTGCTGGAGTAAATTATTGATATAAAATGTATGATGAGGTGGTGCTGTTCTAACAATAGAGTTTTATTATTAGTAGGCGTTATATAGCAAATTTAGAGATGATTTGGTCAAGCGAAAGTGCCAAAGGAGAGGTACGTCATATGGGTGTAGCTTATCATCCGTCCTCTGCCAAGACGGGAGCAGAAGAATGGAACGAAATCGGTGAGTTCTTCTGAAGGACGCACTGAGAATGTGTCGCCATTTCCACCACAAGTGATCATGCTTCCAGTGTTCTATTACACAACTCTTTACTTTCACATGCTGAACTTGTGTCCTTACTGACTGCGAACAGCTGCCCCCTGGCTTCTGTTCTCCTCACCTGCCTTCAATCGTCGGTGATGAGCTTGTTATCACAAAATCCTACCTGTGCTAAATTTTACCTTTTCGAATCCAAACAAATTCCATCAACATATGCAGTAGGCTTAGATCACATCCTGATGTGTGAACATCTGCAATGATGAGATGAGAGTGGCGACAGCGGATACGATTTAAGTGTGATGTGATGCACTTGTTCTCAGCATCGTGCTCTCTGTAGTATGCCATTTGGTTACGCGGGCGATAACACATACTTGTTTTTATGCGCCTAAGGAAAATGTTCTGTGCTCCTTTGCTCTATGCAATTTCAGCCCCGGCACGGAAATTTCGGAATGAGAGATGTCACAGCCAGAAAACTTAACAGTCGTTTGGCATTGATGATAGTAGCGTCCAGAATTGCCTTGTCATGCCCCGCCTTTTTGATTTGAGATTACTAGGTGTGACAGGGGCAGGAAACCAGCGAAGCACTTCGTGCATCTCGCATCCTGCCTACTCCGCATTACGCAATTGATGACTTGAGAACTGTGCGCGTTCGTTTTTCTATCCAGTAGTCTCTCCGTCAAATGTTTGTTAATTGGATTCTTCGAAGCGAATTCCGAGATATGGTCAGTATTGCCTTCTCTGTGATATATCAATTTGCTACATGGCTAGGGAGCATGAAAACAACTTTCATATCGAGATCTTGCTCATTTCACCCAATTCGCGATCCTGAGTAATAGCACTAGCCCATCATATAAACGGCTGTGTTGCTGGCTAGCTACCATCGAAGTTATTTTCAGCCACTTTATCACAAGCCGCGATGATTTGTTGCATAGATAACGCCTAACACCTTCCGATCATGATTTATTTTGCTTACGGCAATACTCAGTACAATATTCGGCGAAATTCTGCACGTCGTTATATAGCACACTTTGTATGTATTCTTCACAATGACCTTAAGAGAACTGCCAGTAACTTGATTTGTGATTTCCACCGAAAGTTGTTTGACTTGTAATTTGGAGGCCTTGTAGAATTTCTAATGGCGAGTTACGAATTATGATACCACTTAACTTCCACGAGATCGAAACGCAGTGCCTTGCATTGCAACAGTCTCGGAGAAGGCAAACATACACAAACAATGGCACCGTTGCTTAGCTCTGCCCAGCTCATTTTCCACGTGCGCTATCATCCCCTCACATTATCTTTAGTGCTTCAGTTAACGTTCACGATTTCTTAAAGTCACAATATAGATCAGATTGTCTCTCATTTTTTTGAATCAAATTAATTGTAACCTACGAACGTCTTTACAAATCATGCACAATTGCAGGTGCTCATGACCATCCTGCTCAACCTTCTATTCGTATTTGGAGGTAATCAAATTTTGATGAATTTATCTCTGTCTTGCCATCTTCGACTGCTCAAGAAGTAGACTGCTGCATGTCACGTAGTGCGTGCAAGTTTTTTTCGGACACACCGATACTGCATCAAAAGCATTTAGTGGTGTCCCCTAAAAATGACTGATGAGTTTACACTTGGTGTTTTTAATTTTCAGGATCGCTAGCGAGTGAGCCGGGACATCATTGGGGATATCGTGAGCACACCGGTCCGGAGAACTGGCCAAAGACGTGTCAGGACGGCTTTCGACAAGTATATTTCCAATTACTCTAGCATACACAAACTAACACCATTGTCAAGATTATCCTCGTTGGCTTGAGCTTCAGTCGAAAGTCTTGCTAACGTTTATGATGGACTTCCACTCATCATCCGCACCCACTGCTTTATGACAAGTTCCGATGTGCGATCGCATTTCCGTATTGTATTAGCGCCAGCTGGACCTTGGCAAATCACGCAGTACCAAACGGAAATAAACATCAGCATGATGTTTCGCCCGCTCCGCGTGTGTGCTACACTCAATGAACTGTGTCTGCGAATTTGCCTAGAGTGCTAACAACGAAGTGACTCTTCGTGAAAGCACGAGAGCTCAATTCCCGAAAATTCTTGGCTAACAAATGCAATAATAGGCATATGCAGATTAAGATTGCACCTTCAAAAAACTTATATCTTTTCCCGCCTGGATAAAAAAGCAGTGTCAAAGTATAGCCAAAAAACGCGTGTAAATAGGATGATAAATCAAATTTAAGGACATGCACCAACCACGACGAACTTAAAACCGGAATTACTACTAACAAGGGAATGGTCAGAAATCGGTGGCCAATCCAAACAAGCTGCACACCGTTAAATGCAGCATGAAACGATGACTTTGAATCTGTATTCACATCTGCTTAGCGCCTATATGGGCGAAGTAATGAGCCGTCAAAGACCGTTATTTTGCCAAGCAACTGTGCATGCAAAGCGCAAATTTGGCAGTACAGAGCCATGTTAGAATTAATGTCAGGCCAAAACTTGCATCTATGTCACTTTGTATTTCAAAGCCTAAAGATGAGCTGAAAGTGAAACAGCGCTGTGTTGTGCTCAAGTTTGCAATTATTAGGTGCGGTTTTTTCGCAGTGAAACTGCTCATAACTTCGTCTACAAAAGCGCTAAGCAGATAGAGAATACAGCTTCAAATAAGCTTTAAACGCTGCATCGAATGGTAGGCAGATTGCTTGGATTGGCCATCTCGACTTCTGACCATTCTGTAGGTTATTGCATGTTTCTATCTGAGATGCCCATGTGTCCAAATTTGCTTGGAGACTATTTTTGAAGGAACACTATTGAGACCAAACTGTATTCGCCTGAGAGTCCATGCTCGGAATTATATGAGTTATAAAAAGGTGTAAGCAACTTATTTTCAATTGGCAAGTAATTTCTGAATTTTTTTTTCACAAATCTTAATTAGCTTTATAAAAAAGCTTTATGAGAGCGTAACTGCCGCCTTCTTCCCAGGAAGTTCTAAGAGCCAGAGGCTCTCGAAAATTTTTGAACTGTATAACGCATTAACGCCGCATTCATACGTTTTCCCAAAGTCGTAGCTAACGCCACCTTCAACGTATGAATTTTTTTGTACCTCCTTCCTTCCCGAAAAAATCTCTTGAGCAACCGGTACATATCTACTAGGTTGGAAACTAAGTTTTGCAGTAAATAATCTTGCTCTCGTTTGAAATGAAGCAATCAATTTTTGCCAATATGTACATTATGATGTAAGCTACAAGCACAGCTGATGTTCCGCCAAATTCTGACGTCGCAGTGAGGATTACGGTAGGTATATGGTACGAAGAGGAAGATTGTAAATTACGGAATTGGCTGACACTTTGCGTAAAGGGATTATCCGACATGCTGGTCACGAATAACGTATTGAATTTATATATTAAGAGCTTTTTTGTAAGACTACTATAGTTACAGCTTACGGCTTTGAGCTGTCTCACCCCAAACAACAGAAAAGACGTTAGTTCAACAGACGAATATGATATTCATGTTTAGCAGGTCGAATAACCTACTATGTGAAGTCTCCGCGGACTTCGACGATCCCACTCCCTATTGTTAGTCATCAATGGTTGCTCGCACCAGCCTTGTGTACTTCAACTTCGTGAGGGAGCTAGATCTCGACTTGTCTTTCCATTCTGCCCTTTTCTACTAGGTCAAAAGAGTCAACACCTCAAGCAGTAATTAGCACACAGTTTCGGCCACTATGCATGCCATGGATCAGGACCGGCATCACTTTTGCTCATAACCTCATAAATCTTCGAAATTTACTACTTTTGGAAATGCTTGTAATTTTTTTATTTCGTTTTCAGAAATTAAGCAGTTTGTTGCCTGTTGTAGCACACATTGCGTTCTACATATAGTCAAAGTTTGAGTGCGCCTTTTCAAAGAGAGTAGAGTTACGAAAGCAGTTGCAAAACTTACTCTGCAACCTAATACTCCCGGTTTTTTCTTTTCAAAAACAAGATCCGTAAAAGAGACCTGCGTCGAGAAAGAGTGTAGTGGTACAGTTGCCGTCACCGTCTATCCTATCATTCATGGAGGTCCGAAAATTCTTTTCAGGGTAGGAGGGGCAACAAAAATTTCGTTCGAATGATAGGGCGTGGCGTTACCGCGCCTCCGAAATCTCTTTTGAAATGCTCTTTCACATTTTTACTCTCCCATAACCCAGAATTTCCAAAGAAAGAGTGTGGCGGCGAAGCTAGCCCGAAAATCTTTCTCCAGAGCTAATTTGGATTTTTAAGATATTTTGAAAAACACTCATTTCTTAGGAAAAAAAGGGGAAGCAAGTCAATTGAGCAATTTCAGCACCTGTAGGCACTTATTGAAAAATATGCGACCTCAAGGGGAAGGAGCGCGCGCTGTTGACTACCAAGGCTCGGCAAGAGTGAGTTTCTAGTCTGAAGAAACGAAATCCCCGTGACTTCCGAAAATCTTACGAAGTTCCCTTATCGGAGACCTACTTAGCAGAAGATGAAAACAAAAAAGAGTCATCGATCTGAAAGAAAAAACGTTGAATAAGAATGGAAATTTAAAGTGGAGCTGGTTACCAGGCACGCACAAGAGTATGGCATTGGAGCCCGATATCTAACAAAGCGGTTCATGAAAAATAGGCAAAAAAACTAAGGAAAAGCAGCGATACGAAAATGCCTTCATGTTTTGACCCGATTTTTTTTTGACCCGACACAGATTTTTGACCCGAAAATTCGTCCATGATAAATCCACTTATGTAAAACTAACAAAGATATATGCTCCATACGATCTCAGACCGTATGCTGGCCGTCTGGAAACAGACTAATTTCGGATAAGGTATTATTTTACATCAGAACTTTTTACATCTCTTCCGTAAATATATGCCTACAGTTCATATTTGATGTCGTATGCTTGTCTCTACGCTGTAAACAAACAATTTGTCAATTTTGGCTTCGCTTCCAAACCGCGCACGTTTCGCAGGACACGATGGAGCACGTCCATCATGTACAGGGCTTATCAACTGCAGTGTCGGGTGCACCAGCTCTCCGCTCCCGCGCGGCCTCGCCTGGACTCAGCGCCTCTTTCGCGAACATGCTCTCTGAACACTTTCCCACCGCGAACGTGGGAAAGGCGGAGCCTCAATCGATTGCAAATGATCAAAGAACATGTTCATAGAGGAGGTGCAGAGTCCCGCGCGGCCCAACGCTGCAATTGATAAGCCCTTTAATAACTTGTTTCACAACTTTGCTTGACTGGGTGGTCGCCTTTGGCACTGCTGTGCTGAATTGTCTTGCACATTGTATGTGCAAATTTCCTCCACATACTCGCTAGTGCTGCATGCACTCAATTTTTTTGTCACGGTCTGCCGGACCCAGCAAAAGCAGTATCCTCTTTGCATTTTGTCCCATGAACAAAGTCCAGTCTAATTCCATTGGTCGACAGTGCCGGGGCCTTGTCGACGACCTCCGCAAGGAAAGGTTGCGGATTTTCCGATGGTGATCTACATGAGTTGAAATTGTGCAGGTAATTTGTAAATAACAATAATTCTGCAATTCTACAAAAAAAAACTCGATAGCTTTGCAAAGAGAAGGGCGCTAGAATATTCAAAGATGAAAATTCTTCGAAAGGGAGAATCTTGTTTGTCTAAATGGATTTTGTCGTCTCCATTCCTGAAATAATTTCTTCGACCGCCGCTGACAAACGGTGGGGAGCTGTCACTCAAATGTCGTATTTTCGTTCTTGTTTTTGTTTCTGCCAGGCAATGAGTGCTGTTTGATAAATCTTGCGGTGTTGAGACGAACGTAGAGGTCGATAATCTGGCATTGTAGGTCAGGGAATGAAACATCTTTATGACGAGAACTCAGCTTCGTTTTGTCCGTATAAAAAGGACCTTGAGCAACCTGACATCAGTTTTTTGGCACTCTGCGAACTAGGTTGGATCCAATGGCAAGGGTATTTCAATCCATTGCTCTACTTTACAGTGTTACGAGCTATCGTTGAGGGGTACAGGTCAAGAGTTACTTTGCGATGCCGCAACGCGACGACAAGAGTACAAGAGTCAGCTCGCACCAGTACAGTCGAGTAGATTTCCTGCTTAATATAGTGTCCCTGCAGACGCGACAACGCTGGGGCGTCAATAAATGCCTTGCGGATTCCCGAGCTAGTGTTTTCCAGTGTTTTCTTTGCTTATTTCATGCTTTTTAGGTTGATTCGTTGCTGATAAAGAGGAAAAGGGTAAGTTAAAGAGTAGTTTCTGTTTTCTGAGAAGTCCTATCATCGCATAATCACAGATATCCACGTGGAAGCATTTCGCGTCAGCTTCTTGTCTATTTTTTGTCATTTCTTCTTCTTCTGTCACTTCTTCTTTCAAACCTCCTCCTTCTTGTGAGGCGTTTCTTTGAACGCTAGTTGGCTTGTCTTGCAGCAACTTCGGCTTTCATCCACAAGAAATAGCTTTTCAATCAAGTACTTCATGTGATAAAGACAATAAGTCAATCGTAAAAACCCACTAGCGTTCAAAGAAGTACCTCACAAGAAGAAAGAGACATGAAGTGAAAAAAAATAGACAAGAAGCTGACGCGAACTGCTTCCATGTGGATATCTGTGAATATGCGATGATAGAACTTCTCAGAAAACAGAAACTACTCTCTAACTTACCCTTTTCTTCTTTATCAGCGACGGATCACCTAAAAAGCATAGAATAAGCAAAGAAAACACTGGAAAACACTAGCTCGGGAACTCGTCAGGCAATT